GCCACAGCCTGATCGTGTGCTTCCTTAAATCCTCCTCTCCTCGGTGACTTTCCCGAGCGATTAATTCTGCCCCGGGAAGACTACCAAGGACTATTAGAACTTGCTAATACACCGAAAATTAAATTTCAAACTTTTTCCTGCTCGCGTCATCCCGTTGAATTATTCCGAGATAATATTACGACTTTGACCACGAAATAATTTTAAACAAAAAGATCTGAATATTAAAATTTATAATACCAAAGATTTATTATATATATTTATAATACTTGAAAAAAAAAGATGATTAAATCGAGATCGGATTCTTAATCGGAAACAACAAATTAAACGCCAATTTCGCTTTATCTAAGACACAGATACGGCCCATTCACATACATGGCTAAGTATAGCGAAACTGCATCTCGTATAGAAATTTAGCACGACAATGGCGGGATTAGTTCCAGCAGATTGTAGGACTTCCATTGTCCGAATTCAGTCGAACCCGTCTCTCCACGTCGGTACATTCCCGATTGTCCTGATAGTCGGGCGATCCATCAGCTAATCAGTTCGCTTGACATGTTTCTTAGAGTGTGCCGTTGTACATGCGGGCCACGTTCATGCGGGCACGAAGGTCGCCTTCAAATGATACCAGACTGTCTCATTATCTTAGACATTTGCACTTCCAGAAAGTTAGCCATTGACGGAGTCGTTTGTATAATTAATAGTTGCGACTATTAATTATACAAACGTGCATCTCCGGATAACACAATAGCTATTAAGAGTTCAAACTTAATAAAGCTCACTTTCCCCTGTACTACCTCTTCACAAATTAATCATCGCATTACTCCAGCAATGTAAGATATACAGGGTGTCCGGTAACTAACGGACCAACGATTACAAATGGATTCTTTGGTCAATTTGGGAACGATTTTTCCTCAGCGAAAATGTCGAAAAAGGTCATCATTTTTTACATGTATCTTTATAACTAAGCCTCCGATTCAAATTTTATTATAGTAGACTCTACCTGAAATTAACTGAAGAATGTAATTATGTTAGACTTTTAACTCCAAAACGTTTAGTTTTCAAAAAACCCATTTTTAAAAAAATATTGACTTCTCGACATTTTTGCTAAGGAAAAATCGTCTCCAAATTGGCCAGAGAATCCGCCCTTAATCATTGGTCCGTTAGTTACCGGACACCCTGTATATTCGATGCAGAACTCTTCTGTGATTTTCAGTATTATGTTAAATATCTTGATAATTACGTTTAACAAATTAAAAAATTCCTTTCAAGATAAAGTTTCTTGTGATTTCATGGAAAAGTTCTCTTATTTATTTATGCCTCTGAAGAGAATTCGGTTTTCTTCAATTTTCTATTTTATTCACAAATTTAAGTAACTCGCACTAAAGAGATCCATTAAATTTTTATTGGGAAAGAATCGATTGTAAATTTTACAATAAAAAAATATACCATCGTACATATTTTTTTCCCTTTTCTCGAGACGTTTTGCATATTAATTTGCTTAATATTAGCGAGATGATAGGAAACTTGATAATATAGACGCTGCTTTATGAAGACGGAAAAAAACGTGTGTCTTTCCGACGTTCATGGTAATAAATTTTTTTACGTAAGCTCACAAATTTTACGCTCGCAGACCTTAAAAGTCGAGAGACAGAATTTATGCAAGCGGTCATATCGCAAAAATCGGCGTCTCTCAGTCGGGCATTTCTATATCCCTGCTTAATGCGAAGAAGCATTACGAGAATATGAAGATTCATACATAAACGAGCGATATATTATATTTCTCGAGAATTTATACGACGTGATGACGGCGATTTCCGCGAATGTGTAACCATTCTTTCGTGGAATGCAATTTTTTCTTCTTGCATAAATAATAAGAAAAAATTAGTATGTATTTTTTGCATAAAGAGGAGAATTGTAGATAAAATACAAAGCTTGCGAGTAAATTACTTTCGAGTATAGCAAATATCTTATTTCTCGACGACATTTATAATATTAATAATTATAATTTATAATATCCTTTTCAAGTGTAACTTTCAAGATGTTGATTCGACAGCAGTAAAATTACTAATCAGTTGATTCAGTCAGTTAGGTCGAAATTTCAATAAATTTGTATGGATTTATAATATTATTTGAAAATAACAAAATATTCATATAATACATTCGTTTTTCATTTCGAGCGAGAAATAATTAATAGACTTACAATTTACTCTGTTGGAGAACTTTACTTCTCCATCTCTCTCCCTCCATAAAAGGAATCTTTTAAATTTTATATCTTTTAACTGCTCGTCCTGCAGATTTTTTTTTAATTATATCACGGAACTCTCTCAGCGCACTCGTTAGTACATCGAGATTCACAGGGACAAACAATTGTCGCGATTTTCCAAGAGATCGCCATTGAACGCCAACTCTCTTCTTTCACACCGCCTTTCATATTTCACCGATGCCCTCAAGACCGACGCCGCCTACTTCCGGCGACCGTGTCGGGCTGTACTTTAAACGGAACTTAATATAGCCGATTTATTGTCATCCCGAGAGGTCGTTTACAGCAAGTTTGCGGCACGTGCTCGGCGTACGATTCGCGCTTTGTCTCCTGACCAGTGGGAATCACGTCTGTCGAGTTGCGAAAATAACGGAGATATTTCTTTTATTGTTTAGGTCGTTGCCGGAAGCAAAATTTTCAGTCTGCCCGTTGCTTTCGACGTATAGGTTTTCAAGTTTTATTTAAAAAATACAATATTAATCTCTGCGTATTAATAATAATTAATTGAAAATTCTGACGTTTGTATATTTTAGTTATTTATTTCGTAATATAATATTGAATCATATGGGATTAATTTTTAATCAGAAATTTTATTTAATAATTGAATGAACGTAATTTATAGAATTTGTTTGAGTACTTTGACAAATGATAAATAATAATCATTGAAACAGCATCTCGCATATATATGAACTCGTCACGATGAAGATACATTAGCAAATTAATAAATCGACAAATATTTATCTATTAGAGAAATTAAATCGATCAGTCGTATTTTTTATCGTGCAACAATCATCTTTTTTATTGTATATTAACTTATAGCTTAACGCTTTTATATACATCCACGCATTTTATTTCGTTTCACTCTTTTAGAGAAAAGAAAGAATCAAATAATTTTAGTGGCAAATTATTATTGCGGATAAAATCGATTGGCTACAGTATTTTCATTGTCTCAGTGCACGCGCTATTGAACTTCTCTCTTTCAAGATAAAAATAATTTCGATCTGTCGTGAAAATTAATAAGACTAATACGATTTCGAATAAAATAATTTTTCAAAAAAATCTTCTACAATATATATATATATATATATATATATATATATATACTTAAAAATCTTTTATTGAATAATAAATGTTAAGTTGGTTTTGTCGATTCACCTCTCATAATTTTGCTACCACGAATCGATAAAAGAAATTCTTTTCCTTTTTAAGAATTCACCTTGATCAGCAATGACTACAAACGCCAAAAGGTATTTCTGAGTAAAAAAATAAGTACCACGACGCGACATTGTCGAACACAAAAACTTCTCCATTTGTTACTTATAATATTTATACTGTCAGAAACGACGAAGATAAATAGCTTGAAAATGAAGAAGAGAAAGTAAAACAGGTATCTGTATATATGTGTATGTTAGAACGAAAAAAGAGCTTGTAAAATGATAAAATATATGATTAAGAAGATGACAAGGATCGAGAGAGAAACGTAACTCGGGTGAGAATAAAAAAAACAAGTCTTTTCCCATTAAAATTGAAAAATACAGAGGCAGGAAAACAGAAGATATGGAGAGAAAGAAACAGAAAAAAACATGCAGAGAGAATTTCTTGTATTTTAAGATGTTCGTGATAAAAGTTGATTTATTCTATCAATTATACTGCATTTGTGTTGACGTATATATTTGATAAATTAATTAATTAATATAAATGGATTAAATTTAGATAAATTTAATTAGCTGATAATTAAGCATGATCGAAACATTTTTATGCAAAGATATAGTGACTGACCGATTTTTTTTAATATTTAAAAACTATAATATTAAGAAATATGAAAAAAAGGAAAATGATTGATTTTAATTATTTTTAAGTATAGTAAACGCCTCTCATATTATAAGATTAAAGTCGTAGTAATTACGATAGTAGAATAGATGCAATATCGGAATATCTTTCAATCTAAGAAGATTAATAGTCTTTTATCATAGAACCATTATAGGAAAAAGGACGACTGCTTAATAACCATTATGAAAAACATCGAGATAACGATTATTAATCTTGTCATTGGACAACATACTAGATAATTTCGTTCTTAGCCATCATTCATTATCCTCGAATCTTTCCACACATTAATTTCTTTCAATGTATAGAAATACTTTGCTTCCTTAAATTTATTTTCTCAACTCTTGGCTCGTCATCCACGTATTTTGCGATGATAGTTTACAATTGACGAGGTAACAATCGGCCTAATCGGTAAATTATGAGACTCGCCATTTGGTTTCAACTGACTCGTGCAAAACTGGAGACTGCGTGCTCGTTTGAGCGAACGTTAAAACGCGTTCATCCCTCTTTGCGCGAGGCGCAAAGGGATGATATTTCGACCGCATTGCGATAAATCGCAAAGCGCGCAAAGTAAACCCGTGATGTGAGAGAGAGCTTGCCAAGTGTCGACGGTAAAACCACTTAGAGAGAAACGGCTAAACGTTTGGCGGAGTGTGTAAACGACTCTGTCGTGCTGGTTTATTCTCGCTCGTGCGAATAGATACCAACAGACAATATCTATATAGCACGAGCGAGAATTGGTTCGTCGAGCGCGCAAACCGATTATTACTACAATGAGAGCGTCCATATTTGCGTATAATCGCAAAATTACGACCGCGAAAATTATTTTGGTCGAATAATTCGCGCGAACGTGACATTGTATTGGTAAAAGAAGGGAAAAAGATAATATCGCGCTATAATAACACGCTTCCAATACGATCTTTTTTTTTTTATTAACGTGAATCTTTATCCGATAAATATGTGTAATCATACGAGATTACGTCAAAGAAATATAGCATTGACATTATTAAAAGATGGATATATGCGTAATCAGTGATTTAATAATTTTTTCGTTTATAAATAGTCACATAACAAGACTGATAATTGCAAGAAATTGTAGTAGAGTAGATCAAAGATTATCGATTTTGTCATAAACGCGCGAATACTTGTCAAAAGATTTAATCCACATTTTTTTAAATATGTAGTAAATATATACACATACACACACACACACACATATATATATGTAGGCGAAGTGCATAACATTATATTAAAGTTTATATAAAGAAGATTTCGTCTATATTTTTACGCATTAATATGTATATCTGAATCTAGTTACGCGTGTAATCTTATCATATCACAGATTTTGAAAGGATTATTAATGAGAGAATGGCGGATGCTTTGTGACGTCGCACTCGTTATCCGGTAAACGCTGACAGGTGGGTACAGGCGGCACCTCGCAAACGCATTTAACACACACGGAGCTATAATCTGTAGCTTGATTCAGCTCGTCACCGTGATGCATCATCATGTTACCGAAATGACACATGTTCTCATCTGAAAGAAACGGAATCTGCATTATGTAATCATATAATTGTCTTTTATACAAACATATTCTAAAAGAGTACAATTCTGTTTGAGTATTATTAATCATATTACAACATAAAATTACAGCTGACTCATCTCAAAAATTTGTGATAACATTCTCAAAAAAAAAATAAATAAATAAAATAAAATAAAAAATAAAAAGATGAATAAATAAAATAAATTTATAAAATTATTTTATAATATGTCAAAAGCGGTACTAATGGCGCGTCTGTAACATAATTTCCTGTGCTTTGTAAACTCATAACGATGATTAAATTAACCATCATTTTATATAGGATTTTATAGAACGGAAATTGATTTGCGCGTTGCTTCTCGCGTGCAAAGTTTGTCGCAATTAATTCTCATTTCATGCCATTTAAAGCACGATCGTAATTAGCATCGCTTAAATGTTCAAATATGTATCGATGCATCATTTATATTTTATACTATATGTGTATTCACTTGTATCGCAAATTAAAGCTACGAGAATTCAATAAATTAATTAACACGTATGAGATATCATCAATCTTTACACTTTGTCGAGTCGACATACGATTAATGAAATTAATGAAAGAATTTTAAATGATTTAGATTATTCAAGAGTCAGTCTGTGCATCTCATTTGTAATAACGAATATATTAATAAAACGTACCGATAGAAGTTTTGTCAGCAGACTTTGAATTGTCCTCCTTGTGGACGACAGTATCGTTAGTGTTTTCTAAAAAAAAAAAATAAAAGATAAACTCGGATAAGGTCATGTTATTATGTGCTTAGAATGCCAAATCGTCATATCATAAACTTACGACATCTCGAAAACACACTACAACTGGTCTGCGGCGCTTGACTGGAATAATAAACCGGAGCGCATTTATTAAAAATGTCGCTCGCGCCACGAAAATCGGGACTACAATATGGACGTTTAGGTTTCACGCAGAAAGGTTCGATATTTTCCCCTAAAAAAATTTGATCTATAATATTTAGATTTTGCACGATTTTGAATTAGAAAATATAATTAACATTATAAAATTGTCATGCATATTACTGCGATATCGATATATGAATTTGACTAGTTATAAATATATACACGTTTTGTAAATATGTAATATTAATAATATTATATTTATATAATAATAAATATAACAAAATTTATATAATATATAAATATATATATAATTATTATATTAATTATATTAGAATAAATATTTAATAAATATTTAATTATTACATTATTTTTCAATCAGTAAAGCATCTTTATAAGTACTATTTATTATATCAATTTTTATCACAAATTAACAATCCGTTTATAAAAGATTTTACGTTGTATATATATATATATATAACTAACAATAAAAGAATTATAATTCATATCGATAAAAATATAAAAATCATTTGATTATTAATGATTCCTATACATATATTATATACCTATAATCTTATATATATATATATATATATATATATATATGTATATAAATAAACATTACACATTGTGTGTTCATCATATGCACTCTCTAATATGTGCAGATATAAGTACATATTTTATATACAATCTAATCAAAATAGTTAATATTAAAAAATTCAAAATATCTGAAAATAATGTATTTAAAATCATTCTTACCTTTATACCCTTCTTGACATACACAATTTAAATCTGGCTCATTTTCAACCTCAAAGTATTCTCCGGCTTTATATATCTTTCCGTTTACCTCACAGGTAGGCCTATCTTGAGGTCTTTCAGCTGACGTAAATAATTGTGTTTAAATATTACATGTATAGAGTATTTATGATAGAAATATACGCGATAAATACATTAGCATATGTATTCTACTGAAAATCTAAAATTTAATTATACTGAAATAATTTTATAATAAACATCCCGTATAATACAGTTCAAATATATATCGAAATTATATTTGTAATATCCAAATGCCAATGAAAAAAATTATTTTTAATATGAAAAAATGTAATTTAAAAAGAAAGTAATAATAAAAAAGCATATATTGAAAATCTAATTAATTTATTAATTTCTAATTGTTCTTATTTCAATCACTAAAAACACATTAGAGAAGAATAATTAGTGCAAAATTCAATTTCTTGTTATTTAATATGAATATTTTAATGTAAATTTTTCACTTAATAAGCACATAATTAATATAATTACCGCAAAAATATATAGAAAATTTCTAGGTTTTAGATTAGCGAAAAAAATGTTTACTTACGACAGACTTCTTCTCCGGGACAACAGTTTAACGGAGAACGTGTTCTGTAGCAACCAGGTCTTACAGGCCCAAAGAAACAATCGACTATAGCGCAATTAAATGTGGCACTATTAAAAAATACAGCGTAATTTAAACAAATAAAAATTGATGACTCTGAAGTGACTCGAGGCGAAATAATTGAGAAAAATGTTAAGTTTCGTACTTACACTCCATCATATCCGCTTGTGCAAGTGCAACCGATGTCACAAGGATTCGCATCCTCTTCTTCGAGAGACTCTCCAATTTCATACTCTTTACCGTTAACGTAACACTTGGTCTTGAATCTCTCCTTCAGATGATCACAGTTGTATTTAGTCGCGCAACAATCCCCCTCGTTTTTGTAAACAGGTTCACAACCAAGCGCCTCGTAATATGACAGTGGACCAGGGCATTTTGTTTTATCGCATTCTTTTCGAAAAAAATCGAAAGGGTTTGATAAAAAAAATTATTATTATAAAAATTATTACTTAAACTTGCGTTGTGAAAAAATTTTGTGTAACGAGAAGTTGATGTTGAATGTGTCAGAATTATAAAACGGGTGATAAATTATTTCACGAAATCAAAATGTCATAATTTACTCAATCACCAAATTAAATTGAGATCTCCGAGAAAAACGCCGGAAGCATCTTCTCAGCTCTTCAATCTCGCAAGAATTGATAAAAATTGATAAGTTCTTAAAAATTGACACAGATTAATTAACGAAATAGTTACATTAGTGTACGCCTCGTGTCTATTGTAGTTGGATAAGAATTTCGATGATGTAAAATAAATATTTCAAAATAATATTATATATAATTCTAATGCGATTGTACACTATATGAAGTCAATCAAGTTATATCCTAAGATCACGTATATCATTAAAAAAATTTTAATTTTCGATTCACGATTATGATAAAATCTGTGACGCGAATGAAACATTTCAATAACACATTCCCATATAATAATCGATGACATATGGTCTTCGCTGTTGTTTGCGACTCACCTTGACCGATTGCGACCGTGACGACGAGCGCCAGAGAGACGCATATCTGAACGAGAGAGTAAGAGGGACGACGTGTCATGATCGAGCGGCGCGAAAACTTTGAATGACGATACATGTCCGCGCTGCGTCATTTATACTTGGAGCGACTGGTCAATCTGGGAGGGATTGAAAGTGGCCCCGAGAGAGATGATGGACGCGAGATTGACGAAGATACGATGATGTATCGAAGAAGGGAGAAGAAATAATACGCATATGCGTATCACCGTGTATACCGAAGCGAGATGCACATATATGAGACTCAGAAAATGTGTAGAGAGAAAGAGAGAGAGGCGAATATACGCGTTAAAGAAGAATGAAAATAAATGCAAAAAAAAATAGTGAGGAAGGAAAATTGTATGAGCAACAAGGAGGAAGGAAATACAGTTATACACAAAGGATAGAATGCTATAAATAAACGTAGGGGAAAAGAGGAGAATAATTTGCCTTATCAGTCATCATTGCATATCCATTCAAATTACGTAACTACCATGATGATAAAATAAATTATCTCTCTTACCTTGAATTGTTCTTTGTGCGAATTTCTGTGTTACAATATTTCGTATTTTGTTAAATCCATTACGATAATTCGTATTCTATTAAAGTATTAAAATCATTGGTATATTTATCAATTGCAGCAAGTTGCTGCAATCCGAAATATATTTTCATTGTTTTAAAATATAGAAAATAATGTTTAGCTTTGAATGTGACTATTATGCAGTGCTATAGCTACTTTTCAGAAAATTGTTTCCTTATACGTGATATTAATTATTTATTATGTTATATATATAATTATATATTTTATATATACCTATATAAATAATTAATAACAATGTTTTGATTTTTATTCTTTAAAATATTAATTTTTATTATAATTTTAACTGTTTTGAAAGTTATCAAATATTTTAAAATAAGATTTTGAATCGTATAACAAAAATAATACGTACCTATTTCTAGTTACATATATCAAGAAAATGGAATATACTTTGTGACATCACATTGGTTATCCGATAAACTATTACAGATTGCTAAATGAACTTACTGACTTAAATATACTAAGAACAAACGGAGCCCTATAATCTGTATTTTATTTATTTGTTGTTAATTCTCATCTTCAATTTATTAAATAAACATATACTGTTCTTAAAAGAAAATTTTCATATATTTTTAATTATCGAATGTTGACATTGAAAATGTTAATAACTTATCAATTAAATATTTAAACGCAATTTTCTGTATTTTTTAATAATTCATTTTAGAACGATAATAAAAGTTACATATTTTTTAAATTTCTTATATTTCTCATTTTATGGGATTATAATATATTATTCGCATGCCACAGAAATTGATTTAGCGCGTTGTTCGTTACCCACATGTAATATTTGTCGCAATTATCTTCTATTTACCGCGGTTCATAGTACAGTCGTAATTAGTATCGCTTGAGCGTTTAAATGCATGTGAATGCCTCATTTATATCTCACACTATATTCGTAATTGCCGAATTGATTCGCATGTATCACATAAATCTCTGCTTTCAATGTCGCTATTCATAAAATTAAAGAAGAAAATAAAAAGAGATTAAATCACATCGTTAAATGCATAAGTTGATCTCCCACACAAGTTATATTAAAATACACAATAAATATAAATTTTATTTTTTCATTTTCAATGTTTGAATTTCAAAGATTTATCGTAATTGAAAAATCTAATAAAAAACTAAAAATTTAATCTATAATCACATGTTTAATAAATGATTTAGTGATCGGAAACAAAATAAAAAAATAAGGAGATTAATAAATATAAATAATAAATATCAATATAAATAAAATTGATTATAAGGGTCATTTTGCTTTTTGGAAAAATTATTGAATGTAATGCAGCGAATTGAATCATATCAACGCATTGTTCATTCATGCGTTGTGGATATTTTCTAACAGACTTTACGATAATACTTTTTTGTTAGTTCGCTATACAGTTATTTCACAGATATACATTACATACGCGTGTATCTCCAAATAAATTGATGCATAGAAAATAAATATAAAATATACCATCCGAATCTTTATCGGACAGGCATTGATGATGAATGACGATATCGTTAATATTCTCTGAATAAGCTCGTTATAGTGTAAATAATACGACGATATGATATATTTACAACGTTTCAAAATCGCTTTCGCAAGCTTCCGGTATCTTATATTCATGATAATAATTTAAAATTAATTATTATTCTAACTAAAGCGCGGTTTCTCGAAATTTAAGAGTGCATAATATTGTAGATTCAATATTTAACACACAGAAAAGTTTCGACGTTTTTATCTAAAAATACAAACATTTTCATTCAACACTGTATCGAAAGAAGCTTGAGAATTAAAAGTATTGTGTACTGCACGAAAAAAAAGTAATATTATCTCTTTTTATTCACGTATCCTGTGATTGGCAGATGCAATTCAAATATAGTGCATTGGACAAGAAATATTCGCCATTTTTATTTATGCAGCTATTTACATAACAAATAAATCTACCTTTCGTTTGTTAAAACGCATACCTATATAGAACAAATTTTATTTATATTTATATTTATTATTTATATTTATATAATTTAAATCTATATTGTTAGTTTATGCAGCATTAAGTTTATTTAATTATATAGTTTCAAAAAAAGGACCTAGTAATTTTGTTCTTATGTTGTCTATAATTATCTATTGACGCGATAAATACATATTTCACAACTTTATTTAATTTTAAATAATATTTGATAAAATAAATTTTCCATTAAGTTTGCCTTGAAGATCGTTTTATAGATGAAAATTTCCGAAGAGCCTATGTGAAGTAAATAAATTTTCCGATAAATGATCTGCATATATAAAATAATTTGTCAAATAGAGAATACATTAAACGTTAAACAGTTTTCACGAAATGACAATAATATGCAATAAGCGGTATTTTACGCGTAAAATATAGAAATTGCATGCAGAAATGTGAATTATACATATCTGACACATGCTATTATGACAGAATAATCCCGAACTGTCGACACGTACGAGAAAATGTGATGTAGTTTGAATAATGTGATGCCGTATATATGAATCTTTCATAATATTGGAAGAAAATGCACCGCATGACAATGGTCGCACTAAATATTCACGATTGTCACAGTATTTGTAGAAAGATGTTGAAGATCCTTCAGGTAAAATATAAAACAATATATGGAATTGGCAATGCGTTTTTACATCTTGGTTATTTAAAATTGTACGACGAATAGAATATATGCTAAAATAAAAATAATTTATACATATATATAAGACAAATATAAAATCGTAAATTATTTTTATTTAGCATATATACTTATATATAAAATAATTTATTTTTTTTTATATTAAAAGTTTTATATAAATATGTATACTATACATTATATGTACATATATAACTTTTTAATATAAGAAAAAGTTAATTATTATATATATATATATATATATTTATCGTATAATTTTGTATATATAATATATATTTGATTAATACGGAAAATTTAAATAAATATTATATATTAAACACTCTCTCTCTCTCTCTCTCTCTCTCTCTCTTTAATAAGAGATCTATGTATTAAAATAATAGAATTCTTGAGTTGTAAAATCGTACTTATATTCCGTCGTCAATTCATGCACGTTTGCAAGTGCAACTGATGTCGCAAAGATTTGCGTCTTCAGTCTCAAGATTTTCGCCGATCTCTTATTTATTGCCGTTGACGTAATACTTGTTCATAGTTTTCGCTTTCAGATGATCGTAGTTGTAACTTGTCGCGCAATAGTCGCTTTGGTTTTCGTACATAGTCTTACCAACTCGAGAATCTCGTAATACACCCAAGCATTGCATTTAAATAAAACGCTTTCTTCTTCATAAGAAAAGAAAAATCGTAGAATCGTGAGTTGCAACGATTTTAAGTCCGTCGATTAATAAGATATTAATTTTAGATTATTTTGCAAATAAATTATCTGAAAAATTTCAAGTTATTTTGTTAACAAGAAAACATGACATATTCCTTTTACAACTTATCTTGGTTAGCTGTGATGACAATAGTAAAAGCCACGTAGGCATATAAGAGAAACACACGAGGCAACTTGATCGAACAACAGTTTTATTGACTTCAGTGTCCGCGCTGCATTATTTATACTTCTATTCGATCGCGGCTGCCAGTTCAGAGAGAGAGATCAAAAATGATTCTGAAAGAAGTGGTTAACGCCGCAAAAGGGAAAAAGTGATATATGCAAGCGTGGGAGATAAAAAAATATGAGAACTAAAAGCATGAATAAAAAGAAAATATAAAATATACACGAAAAAAAAACATGATAATTATTTATATTAATATAGAGATATATCTCCGATCTTGATTCTTGATATACATGTATTTATTGCAGAAAATGCTGATAATTTGCTCATACTTTATCTTAATTGGTGGTCTTTTTTATAATTATTTTTTTATATTTTTGAAATATTTACTTAAATATTAATATATAGACAACGAAGAAGCTGCATATAAAGTTTGCAACTTTTTTCACGTAGAACAAAGTTCCGTCTACATATCTGCTGATGCTTTTACTGCGAAACGAGATCTATAACTATACCTACTATTTCACATACACTTGTAACTTTCCACGCGAAGCAAGATCTTACTATTGTCATTTTACATAGACAACATCGAACAATGTGAAATGAAGCTTGTTTCGCACGAAAAGTTATGAACTCATGTGAAACCGTATAATTATAGATTTTGTTTCGTATTAGAAGCACGTTGCAATGTAGAATAAATTGCCAATTAAGATATAAAGAAATTAATTAATATGTTCTCTTATTCAATATTCTCATTTCTGTATATCAAGATCAAGATCATCATCAAAAAAGATATATATCATTAATATACGTATAATTATCGAAAACATGTATCGCATATTAAAGAAATAAAAAAGGAATAGTAAATAATGAAGAAAATATACATAAATAAAGTACGGAGTTACAGATAATCCATATATCACAAGTATTTAAAATTCGTCATAAAAAAGATATTTTATTAAAAATGA